CAGACATTATCATTGAAAGTGAACTGGCAATTGAAAGTTCGACCCGAACAGAAATACCCTGATAAAGCATAAGGTACATAATGACAATAATAATGCGAGAACTTTACAGTTAGGAGTTGCCGTTACAAATCGATCGGATCGAATGTTTTCCTTGCTACATTGGCTGCGATCACAAACATTTTTGTTTATGTTGCTTCATTGGTATATTTCTATTGCCATGGTGACGTTGCAAACAACATACACTACCGGGAAAGATGAGGTAATGAAATGGATCATAAACTACACTCAACATCAAATAAACCGCACCTTCCGCGACGCGAACTTTAAAGATTTTCTTCTGACACAATCATGGTACCCCCACAATTATTGGTGTTATTTGAAAGCCCAATAAATATCCTTAAAGAACAATACATTTCATTTCTAAATAAATGATTAACATATACCATAAATGTGACTTGAAAATAGACCTCACTTTGGGCTCACCTCTGGGATCAATTAGACCAATTTTTATGGTTATAAAACCAAATAAAGATCTCACGTGTCCTCTTTAACAGATGTATAGCTATTAATCCCAACTTAACAGTTTTATAGTCATAAAAAATGGCTATAGCGTAACTACCTATTTTTTGAAGAAGTGACTGGATCCTTGTAAAGACACATTTTTGGGGTAAAAACCTTTCCTTTAATGAAATGAAGTTTAGAACTAGGCTTTCAAATGGTACTAATGTTGGTGGGAAGTGGGGATGCATACGTTTGATAAGTGCTTGTCGCGGGAGGTGCGATTTATTTGATGCCGAGTGTATATTGTCGTACATAATATTGTTGAAGACTGTCTTGTCCACAAACAAATTAACTAATTGACAACGCCCCTCTAACAAATTGTGAGTTAAAACGAAGCAACGTCTATTTTACTATGAAAAACGAATTCCGAATTATCGTGAAAACTTTTTGCTTTTAATACTATGGCTTGTTCTGGTAAACATATCTACATTATAGATAACGATCGGCAACGTTGATATGATTTCAATGAAATAGTAGTAACCTTGGTTAGTTAAATGAGAAAATTAATAAATCGTTAGCCTTTTATTTGAACGTAGGTAACAATTACGGCAAAAATTCCATGACGCAATGTTTTTTAAAGATTTTAGACTTTCGCGTTCCGTTACGTTTAAAGCTGAGTATAAAATGAAAAATATCGCATTTGTAGATTTTACAAATATTAGGGGTTCCACTTGGCCCAGTTGTAACTTGTAACAAAGCCTTTGGCATTTTAAAATGAGATCGCAGTAACGGTACAGTCAACCGCAGTAAATCGATGGACTTAGAGTAACAATAAAAAGTATAAATAAAGTTGATGGTTGTTTGTTTGTGTAGTAATTTTAACACAATTTGAGGGAAATGTATAGTTATCGGTATGATAAAATTGCTACCCGAAGAATCGCTAGGCAATTCTAAACTATTGACGGAAAACACGGAATAAGTTTCCATTTTTTCTTAGTTTCTTTCTACAGCAAGTTGCGTGTCGACGAAATTTGGATGTCGAAGGTACCTACTCAAAGTTAGCGCAATTTTCACTGAAATGCACATACAATAATTGATGCTGACTGTACCTACCACGGTGACGTAAATACTAAAAACTAAAACCAGACAGTTTATTAATATTAAAAAGAGCTTGCGTTAATAATATACATGACGCGGATAGTAGAAATGACAAAAGTATTTTTCGATTATTATTCAGGTATGTATTCTCATTTTATTCATAGCAGAACCTTGAATTTTGTGGGTGTTGGAATAGGTCTGTCTTATTTAAAGTTAGATATTCGTCACTTAAACTGTTCTGTGACAATAGTATTTGGTCACGCATTGGACACACACTTAGAGAGCCAGAGGTCGCAGCACGCTTGAACATTAGTATGAGATCCGATTCAACCAATTTTTTAAATGATAGGGTACTCATGTTGTAAGGAAATGTCGATAGTTAATTAGTTATCATCGATAGGTTTTTTTTGCAGAGCGACACAATCTTTGGTAAAAAAAATCGAATAAAATGCACAAAGTAGAAAAAAAATTGAACAACATTGAAAGACAACTCAAAAGTGTTCAGTGTAGAGCTTTGATAGGTCTNATAGGTTTGGTATTGATCGAATATGATTAATGTAAAACTAAACGATATTATTTTACTATCCTTAGAAAGTCATTTGATTTTGTCAATTTGGTCCGATGGGAATAATTTTAAAACGCGCTCAATCTATCGCCCATATATTTTTTTAATTCTTGGACATTAATACAGCAGAACTTGGGTGATGGGTATTATTACATTCATGCATATAGATATCATTGTATCAATAGTGGCACACTGCGGTATTTCGGATGTGAGAATATATATAGCTTCCCGAACGCTGCCCAGCCGAGTTGGATTCGACGATTGACCTCTTTCTCGAAGTTGGACCTACCTAACTGGACTGTTTGTCCCAGGTATACATAATTGTCAACAACTTCGAGTGTAGTGTCTTCAACCTTCAGAGGAGTGGGCACAACACGGGCATTTGACATGATTTTTGTCTTGTCCATGTTCAATTTAAGACCCACTTGTTGCAACCAGGTGGACCGACGATCTGGTAAAGGTCGTGGGAGGTGCCTGGATGCGAGCGGCGCAGGACCGGTCTTCGTGGAAACCCTTGGGGGAGGCCTTTGTCCAGCAGTGGACGTCTTTCGGCTGAAACGAACGAACCTTAGCACAAGGTTCACGGCAGAGACACAGACAACTACTTCTTGAGAAACAGAACGCTAATCAGGAAAAAATAACATAATATCATTAGTGATTGATATGGTCAAACTCATTTTATAATTAAGTAAATACCATCACTAACCCAAACAAATTAATGGCTCTTTAAATTGACAAGTATTTTACCATTAATCTTCAGGTTGACAGAAATAGACTCATTTGTAATTCTATGTAATTTGTAGTTGTGTTGAATGACTTTAATTTCTTTTACATATAATGGATGTATCGCGATAGAACCAAAAATACCAAATGAATTATAATATTTTAGTATGCATTGTTTTTATTTTGATACACCCAAGTTTGGCTCTCATTTAATAAACAGAGTAGGAGTGCAAATTCAACCGTAGCATTAAAACTATAAGGTAAATTATTTTTCATCATCTAAAATCCCTTGCCGTGCCGTCCCGATAATGTGCGCAATCCCCGATTTTAAAAGAAATAAGTCACTTTTGTCATTTTTGAGACGGATGGCGCCATCTGTTGAGAGATTTCAAAGGTTGATTCCTTTTATTGATACAAAATAATATGCCGACCGTGTTTCCATTACGTTTCAAGTTTTAATATGTAAAAAATAACCTCTCTGATTCTGATTTTCACTTCCGCATACAAGTTTTATCTGATTGATACTATCACTAAGACTGCTTTTGTTGCTCTTTCTATTCATGAATTTTTGTATCGTAAGTTTCCGAGAACTGCAACTACGCCTACACTGCATAGCTCAGGAAGACTAGGATTAATCATTGATGGAAAAACATGGATCCTAGCTATAAAGGAGTGGCGGGGATTGATTCTAGCCCACCTTACCTGTATGTAAGTTAATACACTAGTACAAAGCTTCCCAAACTGAGAATTAAAAATTGGCAAATTCCCAAGGGCGTCACAATAAAAATGTTTGGGAATCCCTGCACTAGTATATTATGTTATCTATGGTACTGACCTCCCGATAACGCATAAGATCTGTGATAGAACTGATCTCCCGCGAGCACTTATGATATACTAGATAGAAGCATATCTATTGGAGCCGGGTACCATTTTGCCCATTGTCCTTTGTCATATATCGTCATAAATTATAGCCTATATGTTAATCTGGGTTATAAACAATAATACTGTAAATTTTCTACAAAATCCGTTCAGTAGTTTTTGCGTGAAAGAGTAACAAACATCCAGATATCCAAACTTTCGCCTTTTTAATATAATTAGATAGTAGGAAATAGGACATACAACAGCACATCAAGCTAAACACTGTATCATCTTATTTTGTTGTAATACAGGCTATTTTGAAACAAAAATGTATAGTCTGTAGCTGTACTTATTATCTTTGGCAGTACTGACCTCCCGCAAACGCACAAGATATTTTATATTATATTATCTGTGGTAGTACTGACCTCCAGCGAATGCATAAGATGTATTAGGCCTTGTCCAGGAGGGCGAATTCGCCGCGAATCCTACGTTGAAAATTCGACTCGCGCGTGTCTTGTGGATGCAATGTATTGTCTGCTAGTATCTCGCCAACGGCGTATGATTCTACGTGCGAAGACATTCGTGGCGAATTCACCCTCCTGGACAAGGCCTTATAATATGTGGCAGTACTGAACTCCCGCGAAAGCACAAGATACTTTACATTTATTATCTGTGGTAGTACTGACCTCCCGCGAGATGGACTTCTTGGCGGGAATCTGAAGCGTCATGTTAGCGGTTTTGTTTTATTTCCTCAAATTCGTGTTTGGGCGACTATTCATGTGTAATAATGGTGGATAACCATTGAGTGTTCGTGAACGTGCATGAGTGTGGGCAAGTGAAGCAAAGCAGTGCATCGTGATTCTTCTGGTAGTAAAGCACCACAACTTTACTGAGACTCAAAGGGTGGGAAGGGGTATCATCTATCATCCTTCATTATATCATTACTTGATCTCATTTTGTAACTCGTATCACATAAATACTTGAAAATGGCACAAATCAAGTCGACCTCGACGTGCATTGCCAACATCATCAAAAAGAAGAAGAAGAAGAGCGCACAAGATATTTTATATTTTATTGTCTGTGGCAGTACTGACCTCCCGCGAGCGCATGAGGTAGCGCACGAGGCGGCCGCGCAGCACCGCCAGCGTGTTCTTGTCCAGCTCGGTGCCGCCGCCCGCCACCGACTGCACCAGCACCTGCCATCGCGACAAGGAGGTCTCCAGCAACCTGATGTATAACCTGTGGCAGTACTGACCTCCCGCGAGCGCATGAGGTAGCGCACGAGGCGGCCGCGCAGCACCGCCAGCGTGTTCTTGTCCAGCTCGGTGCCGCCGCCCGCCACCGACTGCACCAGCACCTGCCATCGCGACAAGGAGGTCTCCAACAACCTAATGTTTTTCTTCTCCACCCTGTAATATAGCAAAAAGTTCGTTCTATCCTGTATGACAGAAACTTTTTCATAAGACCCCAAGTATACTTTTGTGGTAAATTATTACACCACTAGGGAACAAAAAATCCTTTTTTATATGGTAATCTGCAGTTTGGTCTGTTTATAGTGATATGGGTTCTGATACATCACAAATAATTACATAATGGATATAAACAAATTATTAAAAATCTTTTCCATGACTTTCTACATTACTTGAGTTATAGTCTTCCTTATCGCCCACCCATCCTTATCGCTCGCGCGTAATTATATTGCTGTCGCGACTGTGCGACGGGCGCCCGCAGTGAGTGTGCGAGCGCGACAGTAACATAATTACGCGCGAGCGATAAGGATGGGTAGCTTGGGGTCATTGGACTAAATTCTACGAGCTCACAGACCGGGCCTTAGCAGTCATAAATGGAAGAAACACATTCAGAACAACAGTAAATACATTAATCCAAACATACAACAGATAGATACTTGATTAATATCTACATAAATAATAAAGCAGCAAAACAAAATACCTGTCAGCAAATTGCATTTCAGCATCAATACCATCTTCTTTCAAATCTGGTATGTCTGCATCATTGATAGTTTCCTCAGCATCAGAAAATGATGTTATTTTATCGCCTAGAACTGAAAAACAAAAAAGTCTTAGGAGTTTTATGATTCAATTTTATAAAAACACTATTATTCTATGTTTTTGATCATTTAAAAATTGGCCCTTTACGTCATCTACCATAAAACTCACCTTTCGGCAGAGGCTGTACTGTTTGGTCTGGTAATAGTTGATACTGCTTCAATAGCTGCCAATGTGTCATTAGGGTCTTAGCTGTACGTAAAGGGTAGAATACATGCGGATTCTGGTCAAGCAACTCTTGGAACTTCTCAATCGTCGGGTGTGATGTCTGAAAGTAAAATGTAAGAAAAACATAAGGTAAATGTTTCATTTATTAAAAAATCCTTAAAAAGGAGTATGATTCCAGCATGGAAAACTAGTATACAGGGTGTTAGGTAAATGGGTATATGAGCCGACACTAGCCCATGTTAACATGGTCATAGAAATGGTATGGTGAAGTCAGAAAATTGATATCTTCATTTTAATTATTTTAATTTTCATACAAATCGGATTTTATAAAATTTATTTTGTATGAAAATTAAAAATTATAATAGGCTGATAACTTTTTTTATTATGCTAAAAACCATAGTTCATGTAGGCTTGCACTAATATCTCAATGGAAATAAAATTATATACTTACACTACTTAACGTTCCTAGCAGCTCTTCTTCTGCTGTAGAGTACAATGCCTGTTGTTGGACAGCGGCAATCAGGTCGGGGTGCAAGTTGCGCATTGCAGCCACAGCCACCCTGGATATCTCAGTGTTGTACAGCAGTGCATACCAACGTGACTGTAGCTCACCCACAGTGAAGCGGCACGAGAACTTTACACCGCGGTGAACAATGCGCAGATCATTCGTCTGTAATATTTTTTTGCAGATCATAAATATTTATATGTAATATTTACCTGTATGTTTTCATTCCCCTTTGACTGATCAATGATTTTAGTAAACCACAAATACAATAATTGCTGAGTGAATTTCCCAACAAGCAGGTTTAGTCTTATAAGATTACAACAGCCAAATAAGATCTACTAACCTGTTGTACTCCTAAAATTAAAGCCAAATCATCAGTAGGTTTCCATCGTCCAAGATCTTTTGTCGAAAGTTGGGTAAGCTGTCCTTTACGACGCGACTTCCGTGCAACACTTCCATACGATATTTTACTTGACGTTCGCCTTCTTTCCTGAGCGGGACCCGCAGCTGCCACTGGAGTAGGAGTGCTAATGGGAAATTCTGGCAACTGGCTTGTGTAGGATTGCGTACGCACTCTCTTATCTCCTTTACCCAACGACGCACCAGGCAAACCCAAACTGTACTCCACCAGTTCATCGTCAAAGCGACGACGTTTTATCGATCTGTTTGAACTGTACATAAACAAAACTTAATAAAAAGCCTTAATTTTATCCAAAGAGCGATCTATTCATACCAACCTGCGTCGTTTGTTATTATCTTGAGGCGTATCAGTAGGAGAAACTGTAGTTCCGGGATACTCATTGCTATCTGAGGCATTAGATGGAGTAGCTGGGAAATCCATATTATAAAGGTACTGGCAATCTTTCCCGTTTCAATTAATTAATCTTCTTCTTTTAATAACTTTTTCTTTTTGCAAAATCTGTAATCACCAAATCACCATCAAACACAGATATGGATTAGAGTAGATACAGCAAGTTGATCGTCAAAGCGTGCCATTCCGATATGTCCAAATGGACATACATGGTCGAGTGATGTTCATGTAATCCGATTACAACAATCGGTCACGATGATTTTACGAGGACAGTAGTACGTACACGGTAGAAAGAAGAAATTATTTTTACGGATTGAGAAATGTAATTAATAGCACAAGTAACAAATAATTAATTAGAATAAAGTAGCAGTAGAAGTATAAAGTAGCATTGTTTTTAATACATATTATCCTGAGATGTACTCTTAAGAGTTAAAACTATGGTCCGTGTATGTGGTGCACTCATACCGATCCCAAGGAACCGTACTTACTCATAACAATAAGACACACACTGATCCATGACATTCATGCACTTGACAAATTTATGTCTTGAAACGCTGGTAGGGTAAAAAAAATAACGAGATTTGACGATTTGTAAGAATTAATTTATTTTAAAAAGGTAAATAAAGATGTTTTTGGTTTTGTATTTAACAAATTATCAGTTTTATCGGAATTAATTAATTTTCGAATCGAGTCACACGATATCATTCGATGACTTTGCAAATGCAGTACGATAATACGATTACTTTTACGCTGCGGCAATCACTAAAATTCGCAAAAATGACACTAATGACGTTTAAAAATTGGCACGCTCGTCTTCATACAATTTTTGACACATGCTGCATCTATCCATATCTGCCCCCCTAGACAAAACGCACTTTTTGATCGAATCGAAAATCGAATCCGTCAAAACTCCATACAAAAAAGGGGCTTTTCGACCACTTTTCGACTGGTTTGCGATTATAATTTGCACTTTGTCTAGACCCACTGTGCCATCAAACAATTTTTTTTTGTTTCTTTCATCATGACTTTTTACTTTTTTTGTGGTTTCTATTGTTTGAAGATAAGTCTTTTGCCAACAATTATGACAGCGCTAGTGTTCATCTACTTATCCAAAAACCGTAATTTTAATTCGATTCAGACAGTTTCGGAAGCACTAGCAATTTAGGAAAAAAGTAAAGAAAAAAGAACTGTCAGTGTCAAATGAACGTCAACAAAGTGCAGGCAGGAAGTTGCTTTTCTAATCAGATTTTGTAATTAAATTACTCAGATAATCGAAGAAAATGGCATTACTTTTACGCACTTTTAAACCAGTAAATATTTCAAGAAATTTCTCTAAAATTGTCATTACTAACGATGGCTCCACCATCGTCTCACTACATCGTGAACAAAATTTTCCATATGAGCATTCAAAACCGCTTCCAGAGGAAATTCAAGATAATTCGCTATTAAAAATGAGTGATCTAGAAGAAGTTCGACGAGTTTTCAAAGATATGAAACCAGAAATAGCGCGTAAACAATTATCAACCCTAACCTTGACCACGCAACACCGTTGGTTCCCGAGGGCTCGTGACAAGAAAGCCAAAAAAACTGAGATGAACAGAACATACTTATAAACTTTCGTATTTTTGTTAATTAGGAATACTTACTCTGTTAGTAACTAGTGTAAAATAAATAGCTTAATGGTATATAGGTATTTTATTTTTCCATTTTTATAATACCTGGACTGGAGACTAGGGGACACTTGTAAGTATTACTAAGAACTTTCCCAGTTGGCTCCAGGGGCAACTGGAAAACCTGCTTCACAGAGCGAAGTAAAAACGTTGGAGTGAAGCAATTTCAGAATCACGTTTTGTAACTTGTTAGGCTAGGTAGGTATGCCCTCTGCTCAAAACGCGACACATATTTGTTTTAAGATGCCCACAGTTTTCTCTTGACTACAGCAGATGATTTGCACGGAAATCTATTCTTCCCATGAATCATACCTAAAATTGAATAGATCCTTACAAAATTAAACACTTTTCTTCTCGTCTTCTATTCTACTACTCTATCGTTTCTTCTTTATTTGTCTTCTTCTTATCTCTTTTCTTCATCTCCTCTTCAGTTTCTTCTCATTTTCTTGAAATCTCTCAAAGAAGAAGGAGAGGAGAAGAAAAAGACGACAAAAGAAAACAAGTCAAGAAGATGAAGTATTGTTCTGCAGCCTTTTTGGACATCCAAGAGGCTTTTGACAAGCACAAAGGCCTGCTTATCAAAATAAAAAATAGTCTCCCTCACAGCTACTAAGAAGTTCTTCACTCCTACCTAACAGAGAGATTTTTTCAGGCTAAGGAATCGGGAGAAACAAACATCCAACTTCCATGACATCAAAGGCGTCCCGCAAGGGTCTGTGCTAGGTCCAGTAATGTATACGCTATTCTCTGCGGATCTACCAGATTTGGAGGAGGAGGTTACCATAGCTACAACTTTCTACTGGTTTGAGATTTAAATGTGCACTTAGCAGGTAAATATTTCAATATTATTTATTGTCCGCGTATCGCGTTAAAACCTGTATAAATTATTTCAAAAATAAGTAGGTAATAACGGTTCATTTTTCCCCAGGCATTACCTACATAAAGTATCTATCTATTGATTAGGTTGCAAAAATGAACTGTACTTACTTTAAGTAATCCCTTAATTTTCGGGTTTAAAGAATGAAACACCTCTTAAATATACTTTTTATTATATTTACGAAATACATTGTATTAGGTTACATTTTATATTAAATTAACTAATGCCCCCCTAGACAAGTGGCACTTTTTGATCGCTCCCAAATTCGAATCCCTTCAGAGAGTGAAGTACCTACTTAACTAAGTGGGTAGGACATAAAAAACGCCGAAGCGAAGGCATATCGAAATTAGAACTACACGTTTTGCCACTTATCTAGTCTAGAGGGACTTCAATAAGGACATGAAAGGTAGGCAAAATTCGTAAAAACTTAACTAAGTACCTACTACTTATTGCAAGAATTAAAAAATAGCATTTATTACACAGTAAATTGTCTTATTAAATCTCCGTCCAGCGTTATTATTGCGGATGCATGCAGTTTAAAAATTTATAATTTTCTGGTTCATTTTCGCTCAGTCTACCAACTCTTACGTTTCATTTTTTATTTTAAGGACTAAGTAATTGGTCAAAACTTAACAATAAAAACAGTGGTGGTAACAGAGAAGCAAAGTACCTACCTATTTATTTTGACAATCTTATGGATGTCGCAAAAGTGAATGGTCATTTTTTAAAACTACCTACTTACAATTAAACTACAAACTCAAGCATTTTTTTAAGATAGTGAAAAACTCAAAATCAACTAAGGTCAAAAGAGGAAACGCGAGAAATGAGTGCAGCGCAAGATAACGATTTAACTATTTTAATGTCCCACGTCCCACCCACGCATGTACTAAACATGTAACATTGTCAGTCAGAGGCTCTTTAGAATTACCTACCTACTTATAACTTATGAATTAGATTTACTAGAAGAGTTTTTGATCAAGAAAGCCATGCCATGAGTTCTAAAGTGCTTTTCCAAATCTTCAGAACATTCGAATTGTTCTCTACAAATTTTGCACTGGTTTTCTTTGAGAGGTTCTTCAACAACAGTTTTGACACATTTGGTAAGAGCGTTTTCGTTAAAGCATTTCTTTTTATTTATGTATTCCTCGACGTTGAATATGGCATGATTCAAAAGTAAATGAGTTGAAAATGATTGTTTCACAACAAAACATTCTCCACATTCCATACACTGATATGCCATACATTGATCTCTGTGGGTTAAAATGTGTTTTTCTAGCAATTCTTTAGTTTCACTTTCATGTTGACATTTGCCACAAACGTAATTATTCGATCTACCTGTTATTTCGTTAAGTATAATAGTTCCAACGTCAATCCGACTTTTTGGGGCCTTTCGTCTAGCTCTTCTAGTGGAACGTTTATTAATAGCCCTGTTAATAACCTTATTTTTATTACCCACAGGATGTTTTTTATTCAGTGTAGCTGATATTTTAGCATTTGATAATTTAGTAATTGATATTTTAGCATCGAGACAACGATGTTCTTGATGGTGTAATGCAAAATGATCTTTTATAACTTCCCAAGACTGGTCAATATTCATCGAGCACAAGGGACATCTAATCGTTACTTTATTCGATGAAGACTTGGCACCAGCTACACATTTAAATGGACATGTATTTGGTAAAGCATTTATAACTCCGTATTGGCATTTATAAGTAAAACTTCGCATGCACTGATCACATCTTTTCAAAATACGATACATTCTTGTGTCTTGTTGCAGAGAACCCTCTTCAGGTGGTAAACTACTGAGTAACAATCTTCTGAGTTCACAGTTATTTTGACAATGTCTGTCGATGTAATGGATAATGAGGTCGTTAACTGTTTTAAAGTGAATATTCATGCAAGTTTTAGTCCAACATGGGTAGATAGTGGTTTGATTGTGGCTCTTAATATGTCTGTTAGTTTGATTTACCATAACAAGTCTTCCAGGGCACAAATCGCATTGATAAAACCGATTAGGGCTTATATCATGCTTTTGGGATACTGCATGTTTGATAATAGTAGACTCACTGAAACAAGCAACTGCACAACTAGAGCATTTATATATTACTTTAAAGTGGTTTGCTGTCATATGATTCTTAAAGTAATTGGGATGAAAAATTTTACATTTCTCAGCAGGGCACTGACATCGAGCAGTAGCTCTCATCATATTAAAGCCTTCACACCCATGATTGTAAGGATAAATTACGCTTTTATTATTCAATCCTATGCCACACTCTGGACAAATAAATGGTGGCTTTTTGAGGTGTAGACGTAAATGAGCCTTAAGTCCACAAGCTGTGGGTAAATTAAATAAGCAAATGGGACAAGAATACACTTGATTTGTATATTGCATATAATGACTGGCACGGTCTTTATATAAAACGCCAGTAGTCATAGTTATGTTTTGTCCACAATCACTGCAAATGGTACCACTCTGAGAAATCTTTTTCATTTGATTATCTGTTTGTGATTTATCTGAAGGTGCTGAAGTAATTTGTACAGCTGGTGGCATCGGGGGGTTTGTGTTATTTTTCTTGGTTTTGAAAAAATTTGATGGCAGGGGATCGACCGATAAATCTGAGACGTTAATAGTTGCTGTCTTCACTGTATGAGATCTTATATGTGACAACAAATTGCATCGATTATAGAATATTAAATGACGTCGTGAGCTTACACAAATGCGACATTGATAATTAATCAGAACGGATTTTCTCTGAATGTGGTTTCTGTAGCTCGATTCCAGTAGGAACCTGTAATAAAAAAAAGAAACAATAACACAACATGCGGAAAATAATAAGGTCATTGTTAAACCCTGGAGTACCTTTCAAGTAAGAAGATACACAATATAAACTTTCGAAATAAAAAAGAAAATTAAAGTTTAAAGAAAGTTGACAAAATTTGAATTGTTTAAGGCGAAATGCGTTTTTATTTGAATCCCTAACATCTATAGTTTAGAATTAGTTAATGCAGTTTTAGAAGTCATCATTCATTAAAATAAAACTATGTACCTAACTTAATAAAGTAGATCAGAGTCCTAAGTGCGAATGACCGTCTCATTGTGATCGTATTCGGGTCCCCTGTCTACGTAGTTTCGAATACCGCTGTTGCAACGAACGCTGTAGCGAATTTCGTTTCTACTGCGTTACACTAGTTTTGAAAGCTGTAGTTACTCTAGCATGCATGAACAACTTTCCTCTTCGAATCGTTTGCGTATTCGACAAAATTCGATACTCAACTTTCGAATTAAACGATAACGTGACAATTTTAATTCTCAAAATAAGTTTCATGCAACCATTTCTCATACTAAGTTCACTTTACGACACGCACAAGGGCGCTGTTGTAGTTTTCGTACTAAATCTTTTGATGGCGATTCGAATACGCAAACGATTCGAACTCGAAAGTTTTTCATGCTAGCCGTACTGTACTTAGTCGCGAACGACGCTGTCTCAAAAAACATTTTCACTGCCTCATACGTTGATTTATACCTACTTGTCATGATGTGAATAAAAAAAAATCAATATTTCGTAATTCAAACGTATAAAAAATATTAAATATAAAAATTACTTGAAAATTTCCGTACAATTAAGATCGAGTAAGTAAGGAGTAGGTAAGTACCTACCTACTTAAAAAAACAGCCGGAAGCGAAGAGATTTCGGAATTACCAGCCTCATAGACAAGTGGCAAAACGTGACAGATGTAGGTAATTTAACAATAATTAATTATAAAACACATTTTTTTAAGTCAGATAGTTTGACTAAGGTTCAGCCAAACGAACGCGTGCAGCGCGGCGTGCACCATGGCGATTGATCGCCATCGCCATCGCGCATGCAGGCTGATGGCATTGGTTGGTTTAGCTGAACCTTTAGCTCCTTCACAGCGACTTCCCCCATGCGCTGGAGTGAAAGGATTTCGGTATTAGGGTATTACCTATACCTTTACCTATCTGTCACGTTTTGCCAGTGCCACAAGTTTATGAAGGCAGATTTTCAGAACTGTAACTATTATGTACCGCCATAGTACCGCACTAAAGTATTGGCGATAAGTAGGTTTTTAAATTCGAAGTGAAACATTACATTTCTACTTGGAACAAATAAAGAAACTAACTCAATTCCTTAAATTCACAAAAGAACAACAGCTCTCCAAGTTAATGGCTTATAATGTTAACTTTATAAAATATCCTGTGTAATAAAAAAACAGGATTTTTTTATAGGCCTTAGACATTCAGAGTCAAAAATATTTATTTGTGGAAGTCTCAAGTCTTGTAAGTAGGTAGGCTACCTAAGTGTTAGAAATTGTATGATAAACAGGGACTTCCCCACTAAACTTATTTAACATATTTTTTGTGGGAAAAGGGCCTGTGAGTTAGGACCAATTAAGAAAGTCAAATTACCAGGCAAGACTTATCAAAATCCACCGTGATATAGCTACTCACTTGCCATCCGTGAAACCAGTTTGCATCATATAGTAATAAAATATGCACCATTGACAAAATCAATTAACTAAAAGTTTTTATTGCTTACCCATCTCCACAATCTTTACAACTGTAAACATTGTAGCCATTTGTATTCACTGGTATCTGATAGTTGGGAATTGCTCGATAAAATAATAGATTTTTGATACTGTATTTCTTTGAAGCTTCTTCTGCGAGAGCTTCACAGCTCTGGTCAGTGGATGACCCTTCCATCTATTTATCTGAAAATGGATTGGTATAACTTTTATAATGATCTCTTGATAAACACACAAAAATAATCAGATAATCGCTTGTTTATTAACAATTAATGAAGGAGGGAAACCTATTTCGTAGGTCCTAGGTACCTAGTTACTTTATTACAACAATCAAGAGAGAAGAAGCTCTGTTCAAATTCAAATTGATCATAAAGAATATAATAGGTACCTAAGTAATTAGTTTTAGTTCCTTAGAACAAACTGTATTGCTCTAATTTTTACATTAAATTATAAACTAAGTATACAAGGACCTAATAAAATAAAATAAAACCCACACAAATTTCAATTTCTTCAAAAGATAATCTCATACTCATACCCTCATAACCCCCCACCCTCCCCGCCCCCCACCAGTCCCTTGACCACACTTGCCTTGCACANCTTGCTTAAACCTTAATTTACCCAGCTCAAGAGCACCTTTTAAATTAAAAGCATAATCTTTTCAGATTTGGTTTAACAAATAGTGGAAATATTTTAGTACCTAATCACATAATTAGTAGGTATTATTTTACTTCTTTTATTATTAAATTAATAGAACATTGCATTGGTGATACTTATTAGATATTATTTATATGGCAACACCTTAGGCAACACAGTTCAATAGACATTGTTGAAGAAGTTTATTGATACATACATACCTTTGAATATGATACGTTGGTTTTTGTAGGCAAGCAATTCGGTATTTATTCCATTTCAACAATTTCTGAGAGTTCGATTGAATGACGGAAATAAATTTAATGACAGAAGACAAAATTTCTAAAACGTCGTCTTTTTAGGAAAACATGGACGTCGAATTATGTATTGCCAAGATAAAAAAAATATTTAGTATTACCATTTCACAGAATATTGTTTAATGTAATTTAAAATCGATATATAAATTATGTATGGAATATGGATTCTCAATCTAGTGCCAAAGTTAGAAAAAATTGTGGGGATTCAAAATTTTAAAACCACTTTTAAAGGATGATGGGCATATTGGGCGTTAAACCAACAGAAACAAAAAGTATACTAAATTAAAGCATAATACTAGTACTTTATTTCATAGTATGACAACAATCCTGAAATACGCGGGGATACGGAGATAGAGGTCATTGAACGTGCAAGGTTTCCATAGTATTTTACATCACATTAGGGTAATAAAAATAGTTATAGATTGCTTTTATCGATCATATTGAGAGTATTGTATCATACCTTACTATCGATTCTATCGATTTGGTAAGTATGTATACCGAATAAATCATAATCGATTATTCGATTGCAATTATCGATTATATTGCTGAAAATAAGGAATTGAATTAACAATCAAATGATATTAATGATGGAAATCAATAAAATCGATTAATCGAATTGTTAATCAATAAATCGTTATTTGGCAATATCGATTAATAATCGATCCGTGATCGATTATGCGACAACACTACAACTTAACTGGTAGAAATCCCATTGAAACATGACTGTTTTCATGTCATTTCTCTAAATGGTACCTAGGTATGGTCCTACGCTTATAATGTAGAACATGGTTTAAATATACTATTTGTTGGCCCCACTCCTGAACTGTTGGACATAATAATGGATAAATAACTTAATGTATTTAAAATGTAAGTAGATAAGTATATTAATTAATAATATTTTTTGTTTGCGCAATAAAGCACCTATTACTATTACACATTATGTCAATTTCCAAGCAAACCCGGGAGTTTTTGGTAGTTATTTATATGAAAATATATTTCTGATATCAAGTCCTAACAAATAATAGTATAGCCTGACCACGAACATAAAAACCCTGGCATAGAGGCGCTTCAATTGCATTTGATAGTGCAACACTGAGTACAGTCGTACATGTGTTAAATTAATAGGCTAAATTTATTGTATCAGGATTCAGGATTACGGCCTAATTTGATATTTTCATTAATGAACGAAAAATATTATTAAAGGTAACCTGGTTTAAATAAATTAAATGAAACCATCAATCGAGCTAGTAGGATTTATTTTATTATTCATCAATAATCAAATTCAGAACTTGAATATTCAACTGCAATGTCTGCTCATGAACGCTTCAAACTCGGTACTTCTTTCCCAATTCCATGAAATTCAAAACTTAGAAAGTAACAAAAAACTTTAAAATGGGTAGTTGAAACAGACTACAGCTAATTTTCATAGTGGACTGTACTATACGATAAACATGTCAGTCAATTTGACAACCTTTGTCGGAAACATTATTCAATGAAAATATTGTCCGAACCCTTAGTATTTCTCTTCGACAAATACATTAACACACCGTGAACCACTTTTCTTTGGGTTAGTCCCAACGGCCCCGGTGGATCTGCCCCGTCAACGGGGTGGATGGGAAAAAGTGTTTCAACGTCCCCGGTAGTCATAGTCTTAGCGTTCAACGGGNTTAATGTATTTGTCGAAGAGAAATACTAAGGGTTCGGACAATATTTTCATTGAATAATGTTTCCGACAAAGGTTGTCAAATTGACTGACATGTTTATCGTATAGTACAGTCCACTATGAAAATTAGCTGTAGTCTGTTTCAACTACCTATTTTAAAGTTTTTTGTCACTTTCTAAGTTTTGAATTTTATGGAATTGGGAAAGAAGTACCGAGTTTGAAGCGTTCATGAGCAGACATTGCAGTTGAATATTCAAGTTCTGAATTTGATTATTGATGAATAATAAAATAAATCCTACTAGCTCGATTGATGGTTTCATTTAATTTATTTAAACCAGGTTACCTTTAGTAATATTTTTCGTTAATTTATGAAAATATCAAATTAGCCCGTAATCCTGAATCCTGATACATAAATTTAGCCTATTAATTTAACACATGTACGACTGTACTCAGTGTTGCACTATCAAATGCAATTGAAGCGCCTCTATGCCAGGGTTTTTATGTTCCTGGTCAGGCTATAGTACCATTAGTTTTCCGCAACATGGCGAGGGTTTTTATGTTCCTGGTCAGGCTATAGTTACATTTCTGTTGGTTTTACGCCCAAATTCCATAGAAAAGTGCCCATCATCCTTTATCGAGCTGGCTTTGCAAAGTACCCTTTGATCCGGAACAAATCGATTAAACGATCTGACATGTCATTATCCGGATGTAAAAACTAACTGTAAGTTTGTAACCAACTAAAATAGATTTCAAAGAAAGATTTTTGTAGCAGTTTGGCCACAGTCGATGCCATTACGGCTTTCTCTGGTTATTTCTACGAAAAAAAAATCCATCTGTTAATTAACTGAAACATGGAATTTCCCAAAATCCGAATAATTTTAGAAATACACAGTACCTAACCTACCTAATCTCTCGTCTTCTTCCTAACAGTAAATTGATAGGAAGAAGACGAGCACCCCTATTTTGGAGGCACCATGGAAAATGACACAGATGGATCTATGGAAAATGACAATATCGGAAATGACATTTGCAGAATCGAATTTACAACTCGAATATTTTTTATTCTATGTCTCGATTATAGTCAGGTGCATTTTTAATCTGTAGTAGGAAAGAACAGGACGACGCTATACATTAATAGTAGGATAGAGGGAGATCGTTACACGATCACAACGCGACGCACTTCAACACTTTTTTTAATGGTGCTATTTTGCAACGAAAATTTACAATATTTATTATTTCTGATAGATTTTCTCTTTCAACCTACTTTTTACGAACTTCAGCCTGCATCTTCGTCCGCCAATGTACCATCGGCAACAGTGTTAACTATCCATTACCTGTCATGTAGTCTCGTTCTATCGCAAATAATCACCATTTGATGAGATCGAGAGCAAAAACGGAAATGGATAGTTAACAGTGTGGCCGTGTGTACATCTCGATCTGTTAGTCTGTTTATAATAATATCACCTCGCTCCTTCCTAAAACCGGGATAAAAACTTATGATTTTCCCTGGGTCTCAACTCAAATTTTATTATCTCTATACCTTTTATCTAAATCAGTGGTCTAATAAAACTAAGCCAAAAAAAAAAATAGTTCAACACTTGTTGTTCAATTTCCTACAAAACTAGATGGCGCTGTCTGTACACTAATCACGAAGGCACAATGGAGTTTACTTAAAATCATAAAAAAGAACAACAAATTTGTAAATATCATTTTATTGGATGGTGTTATAATCTTAAACATATTTGGATTAAATTATTAGCAGTTTATTAAAGGTTAAAGGATACAACTTATACCTACACAACTATGATAATCATCTACGTAGCCATCAAAGGTATCTTACAACAATATAATTTTTATCCACAGATGCCTTTTCTTCCCTTTACAAGTCCCATCAAGATCTCATAGCCAGCGAATTTTTAAGAAACTAAAACCTGAGTTTATGACATTTTTGCGATTTGTTGGTTTTAAGTTTCCCGAAAATTCGAAGTCTATTTTGTGGTAACATTGTTTCATTTTAGTTGGCACAATGATTCAAACTTACACCAAAAATTCTAGGTGCCAGATTAATAATGTTGTCACGATCATACAGTCATAACCTTCCTAAGTTGTTTCAGAAGTCCATACAATTATTCACTTTAGAGTCCAAGTAACTTTTGAAATAATATATCTCTCTTATTTACTTTACGTAACTTCATGGACAGAAAATAATGCAAAGCATGGTGAAGGTAATAAACATATACAGTGTGAGTCACGTTAAAGTGTACATATGAAAATTGATGAAACTAGACCTATTTTTATCGACAAAAAAGAGGTCAAAATTTTTTTGAGATTTTTTTAATTTTTTATAGATTTTTTTTTTCTTCCAATTACTTATTGTAAAGAAAAGGTAATAACTTTTAAACTAAGCGGTATAACCTGATAAAATAAAAACAGTAATAATGCTAAATAACAGGTGATATTAAAAAAGTACATAAAATACACAAAAAACGCCAACAAATAATAAAAAATGATACTTTTTGAAAAAAAATTGCTTTTAAATTCGTGTTTTTTTGGTTATTTGATAAATTTCTCCAAAAAATGCCCCTATAACCGGTGGTTTTTATTACTTTGTATTATTCTCTTTCGTATAACCTTCGTAAATACAAAAATCGCATGTCTCTATCCCGATCACAACGTTTGCAATGATCGTTTGAACTAAGCCTCTCCGAGCGCACCATTCAACGCTTCGTTAACAACGAAACTGAAAATAGCTCTAGATTTGTAATTTTGATAAAGACAAGTTAGATTTCAAATAAAAACAAAAGATTTCGAAGTAAAATAAGCATTTTAGTTAAAATTAAAATTGTCTCTACCTGTAGCGGAGAATAATGTTGTGGCAGGCGTTTGTTCAAACGATCCTAGCAAATGTTGTGCTAGGGATAGAGACATGCGATTTTTGGTTTACAAAGATAATACGATAGAGAATAATACAAAGTAATAAAAACCACCTGTTATAGGGACATTTTTTGGAGAAATTTATCAAATAACCAAAAAAACACGAATTTTTAAGCAGATTTTTTTCAAAAAGTTTCGTTTTATATTATTTTTTGGCATTTTTTGTGTATTTTATGTATTTTTTTAGGATCGCCTGTTATTTAGCATTATTACTGTTTTTATTTTATCAGGATATACCGCTTAGTTAAAAAGTTATTACGTTTTCTTTACAATAAGAAATTGGAAGAAAAAAAATTCTATAAAAAATTAAAAAAAAAATCTCAAAAATTTTTCGACCTCTTTTTTGTCGATAAAAATAGGTCTAGTTTCATCTATTTTCATATGTACACTTTAACGTGACTCACACTGTATTGATAAGTAGATAATTATATTTTTTAGTTCCATAAACAGATATTACCGAAAATTATCACATAATTTAAAAAAAAATACTATTATATGTTTATTTCTTTCTCATCGATTTCTACAACAAAGTTTATGATATTAACAACTGATCGGTTTAAACTATTTTATCGAAACATAGGTAAGTAATTATCTAGGACACACCTTACTTAATCTACTGTAACATGTATAAATAAAATATGATTTAGCTTAATATCTATTGCATTTAATAAATATCTTTGAAAAATATAGCATTCAATAAAAGCATGATCACATCAAATAATCGTTAATAAACCTTCTAATATGTTGACCTAATCATCCATTTAGCTATANCATTTATATCACAATATTTGCTTCCTTTGGTACTTATCACATCTAAATATTGCACTTACACGCAGACTAGCTTTTAATGATCACAGTATCACTATAAAAAAATAATGATTCAAAGTTTTATCTTCTGATTTGATTTAACATATTTAATAAATGTTCTCTGCCAAGTTTCTTACTATGTATTAACAGACAGGGTAATTGTTTGATTCGTGGTGAGAGAAATGATATTAAAGTATATTCTCACAATGAAATATTTTGAATAGTGACACAAATGTGCAGCCAAATATCACATGTTGGCAGACGCCAGACCAGGCGTGCGCCCGCGCACTCGCCACACGTGCGCGGCAATGACACAAATGCTAAGCGTACCACTACCGAACGAAACAGCTAACAAGTGCCATAACCATTATCGTACCAGTCTTCGTAAAACAACTTAAAACAATTCTACTCTACACACCTTGACCGAAGATTACAGACAGAAACATGATACAAGTCATCACATGACTATAAGGCTAGAGAATTGTACTATAGTTAAGAGATTTCAATTATCCACTAAAAGCTTTAACATCTTAAATTACCTATTAAATGGACTTAACTTCGCTTAATACTATTACTAACAAGTTCAAGATAAACACCCGTTTTGTCTTACAAGAATATAGAATTCAACAAAACAAAATGGCACACGAGAATATAGAATTCATTCAGAACTATCAGTAAGTATCCAATTTTCTATGTTTAAAAATACACATTCTTAGACAACTCATTTGAAGACAGTTACGTGTTTGTCGGTATATTGTAAATTATTTGTTTCAAATATTTCATAAAATATATGTATTTGTTCAGAATATTATTTATATTAATCAATATTTGCCTATATCCAATTTATTCGTAAATATTTAAAAATAATCTTTGGACATAAACACGAAATATCGTCCACTAGGTTTATGGCCAAGGTTATGTTAAAAAGTCATCGAAATAACGTTCTTTCATTGGAGCCCAACAGTTATGTTAAAATTAGACGCGGTCAAAAGAGAATGAGTCACCGCACCGGTCAGTAGCGACTCGAGTACGCGCGATCCAGACTGCGCACCCGATTCCGACCGTATCCAATTTCGAAGGAGAAACTGTAGCGGGGCTGCAGGGGGGTGTGAGGTCAGCGGATGCGGGACACGCGGAGTTCTCGGTCCAGCAGCTGCAGCTGGCGGAGGAAGCCCTCGTTGGGGTGGATGTCGCGCCGCGAGCGCACCGTGGCCAGCGCCTCGGTCAGCGACATGCCGCGCTTGATCATCAGGAAGGCCAGCGCGCACGTGGCCGACCGGGACACCCCCATCAGGCAGTGAACCAGAACGCGACCTGAAAGCGAACGTTACGTTGCCCTGACAAAGTAGAAAAATATTATGCAGCACAGCATCGCGTGTTGCACGATTGTCGTAAACTTTTCAGTGTAACGTATAAAATTCAAATATAACTTGATGGAAGAAAACTAAACGAGTATAAAATACTGGAAACATTGAAGTTTTTTTAGTTTATTGGAACGATAAAGTCGCCGACATAGCCCGACGGATTAGCAAGCTGAAGTTGCAATGGGCAGGGCACATAGTACGTAGAACTGACGGCCAATGGGGCAGAAGGGTTCTGGAATGGAGGCCGCGTACCGGAAAACGCAGCGTGTGACGTCCACCTACAAGGTGGACCGACGACATCGTAAAGGTAGCAGGGAAGCGCTGGACGCAGGCCGCTACCAATCGATCAACATGGAAAGCATTGGAGGAGGCCAATGTTCAGCAGTGGACGTCCTATGGCTGAGATGATGATGATGATGATGATGATGATGATGAACGATGAACGTACCTCCGCTAGAGACCCCTTCGTCGATAAAGTTGGCGGCGATATGGAAGTATTTCGATATATCGGTCGTGGGCAGATCCATGAGCTGGAAGCCTTTGTACCGGAGGCCGGGGCAGTCGCGGTAGTACAGGTGGTCGGTGTCCACCTGCGTGTAGCGCTTCCCCTCGGCCGTGTTGAGCACGTAGTTGATCCGCATTCGGCGCAAAAATGCCTTATCTTTGGCCGCCACTCTGTATGACAGAGAAACTTTTGCAAATTATGGTGGCACAATTTTAAAAGCTTACGGGTGTATTCAAAGACTTACTACGCGTTACATGCTTCGCTTTGTCTAGATAAATAGCAGAAAATAAAAATGGTAGGCTAACTTTTAAACTAATCTAAAACCTTCATCATACAATTAAGCTTAACCATAAAATAATGAAAATACGAGTACTATTTAACATAAACCTTGACATAAATTCAAATTGTTTGGATGTTAACAAACCCTATTAAGCTTTAATCGAATGTTGGCTAGGGCACCCTTAGCCTGTGCCAAATAGTTGGGCCCTATTTTAATTGGTATTAAACATTCTATTAGGCGTTGGAATTGTAACCGCGACATGTAAGAAAAATGCCAGCTAACTCAATTATTGCGACCATGTCATTGAATCTCGCTTGTAAATCTCATGCAGGTAGGTAAGTATTCAAATAGCATACTTACGCATCGCCGACATATAAACCCGGGTAGACCTCATTCACGTCGGGCGTCGGGTTGTATGAGATGTCAGCGAAGGGCCTCGACCGGAACGACGACAATGAGCTCAGCACCGAAGAAGGCGTCGACCCGAAACTCTGCGAACGCGGTCTACACGTCAGGCAACCACACAATCCTTGACCCATTCTCCAAAAGACAATGCACAAAAACCAGACAGTTAGTACATGCTATAACACCAGTGATTCTCAGAGTACTACTGGGTGTCATTTTACAAATAATTCTACAAATATCACTGCAAAAGTGCAAATAGATAAGTGGTTGTTAGTTTATGATAAGAATCATTTACAATATAATTACATTTGCCAGTATGGTATTAGTTCCAATGCAAATAGGCAAATCTGTGCAATTATACTATAGTACAAAGTTAATTTATCATCGACATAATATTTAAGAAATCGATTTATTTCGTGAGACTTGTCCATCTATTTTTATTATGTGCTGCTTCCGTTAATAGAAGCCCCCTATTGACAGAATAGACGCACTAAGTGCTGCGATTTACTTTTGATTACTAGTCGCGCCGAGTATCACCACTACCAGCTTAGTTTAGTAAAGGTGCAACTTTAGCATGATGTAGGTAGGTACGATAGGTTTCTGTCTTTGGCGTCTTTTTAACTGCAGCTCTGAATAAATATCGCTGATTTATCTCTTTAAACCATAGAGTTATTAATAACTCTATGCTTTAAATGGTACACAGAAGTAGCGTAGGTTGTATACGTTTCTGGAAAAACGGTCCAATCGTGACTGATGGCTTGGAAAGCCTACACCCTACAGAGCTTGGCTAATTCAAATTCTTAAACAGCCGGCTGTGGTAAAACTCGGCCACTGAACAGGCTGTGCATTAGAACGGAAAATTGTTTGATAAAGGGACGTTTCATTGCTTTACATGAACTATGCCTCAAAAAATAAAAACATATTTTTTATTTTAAACAAGGTTCAGAATTATTATCTGTGCTGCAAGTATGTGCACTTTAAAGAATATACAAGACTTTCAAGTACCTAACTGATAATAGTCCACAATGATATGAAACAAGTGTTGTTTTCGTTGTATTAATTGCTACTTTAAAATATAATCTTATTATTAAGATTTGCTAATTGAGCCTGTTATCTGACAACACTGTTTAACTAAACCAATAATTATTGTGGTGGAAATATTAAGATTATTTTTATCTCTCCTGTTGATAATCACGGCATGGAGGACCATATATAATTGGGTATTTCAAGTGATTGCTCTGAGAGAAACAAGAAATTTTTATTTATACATATAATTTTACGAAAAGTTAAGCACTAAATATGTACGTACATTTATGAGATTTGGGTTAGTATGGGTTTACATACAGCTCAAGCAAAAATTACAGCACCGTGAATGTGATAAATACCATTAGGGTCCTTAGGTAAGATCCTACGCGCTGCTCATTAGCTGCGCAGTATGAATAGGATCTTGGGAATAGTGAGTACTGCAGATAAGACATTGATTAGATGTAGTCAGAAGCTTCAACATGATTACGAAGTTATTCGTTTTATTTTCATACATTTAATTAATTATCCCATTCATTATTCCAGTCACACCCCATTAATAGAAGCCACAACAGGACAAATGTTGTCATCCATTGAAAAGTTTAAGCATCATACGCAAAAAAAATATGCTAGTTAGAATAAGCTCAATGAAAAGCAGATAGCGAAAATTCATTCGACTTATTTCAATAATAAACATGAAATAGGTATTATTATTATTTTACTGGTGATCAAACCTAAATAATTATTACATAAATGAAATGAATAATTATTAATACAACAATATTTTTAATCAATGTAATACAAAAAGTAAAAGTTTACATTAACTCTTACAAGATGCCTTGATGTTTTGGCAATCAACCAAAAAATACCATTGACCTGGTGAATAGATAATTATATTACAAGGCTTCAAAGATTTCGGTGCCTGAATGCGGTTGATTACAGATTAATTAATAAAATTATTAAAAAAGTAGTTAAATGAATTATTAATTAGATCTCAAAGAAAATATTTACTAGAGACTGTATTTGGGCATTTCTCCACTAAATGGAAAATCGCTGTCCCAAGCTAAATTTATGTAGTAAACCTTAAAATTTCTCAGGTTTTTGTATCAATACCGACATAGAATTAGGTATTCTTAGCATGACATAGCATATTTAGTAATTTAATCATGGAATATTTCGAATAAATAACCTCAAACGTCTCAAATCACAGTCCCCTGGTACGTCCCTTTTCCAGAATTACACATATTGTTACAAATGTTTATTATATTGCTGTTGATATTTGAATAAAAAATATCCAAATACATTAACAATAACAGTTAGCATCTTAATACATCACAAACAATGTTTACAATATAATTTTAATCAAAATATCCTTCTGAGAATGCTGTCCTCAAATTATTAAAACATTCCCCTGTTAAAATTTTAAAACCGGTTTAAAGTCATATTTAGTTTTGGCGCAAAGCACTTAGATCGCAAAACGGAACGCAATAGGTGTTAAGGTTGTTCAGTTGTGTAGCTAGTGGGCAGCCGCTATTTTGTTTAATGCTACTACTGCGTCATCTGGTGAACCACGCGTCTCGGCCGTCAGTGAAAACATTCCCCTGGTGAGCCTTTTTTTTACTATTTTAAGAGTTTTAATAACGACAATTTGTTTAAATTAATTAATCTTCTAGTATGTAGCCACATAAGTTGCGTTTATTTTAATGTTTTTAAATGATATTGTTTTATGAAGTATTCACGTAAAAATAACATTCCCCTGGCGAACATTCCCCTGTCATTTCATAGCACAGGGTACTGTTCATACCACAGGGGACTGTTCATACTACTGTTTTCCTAGGTTTTGACCACTAAAATAACGTCTTTTTAGTAGGTATTATCTCAAAATTTCACCGAAAAAGAAGCTACGCGAAACATGAGAAGAATTTCTAGAACAAAAACGTATAGCTGTGCAATTATGATATCATCGACTTGAAACATTACCCTAAAAGAAAAATTGAAAAAAAGAAGAAAAAAGAAAAACTTTAAATAAAATCAGTTAAAGATATGAGTTGTCGTGAGCATAAGGCTGTAAAAAAGGTTTGGAGGGAGCACTGTGCTAAGTTTCGTGCAAAAAAGAAAGTCATGAAGACATAACAAATAATTTGTGTTTCTTTACGAGATCGAATCAGAAATGAGGAGATCCGTAAACGAACTAAAGTCGGTGACTTAGCCCGACGGATTAGCAAGCTGAAGTGGCAATAGGAAGGCACATAGTACGCAGAACTGATGGCCCATCGGCAGCAAGGTTCTGTAGTGGAGGCCGCGTGGACGTCCCACGCTGCGTTTTACGGTACACAAGGTGGACCGACGACATTATAAAGGTAGTAGGAAGGCGCTGGACGCAGGCCGCTACGAATCGATCAACATGGAAGTCTTTGAGGGAGGCCTATGTTCAGCAGTGGACGTCCTATGACTGAAATGATGATGATGATAATGAACAAATAATTTCGGAAGGGAAAATACCTACATCTGATTCAGAAGATTTCGCAGAAGAACATCAGGCGCCTTTAAGATCATCTGACCCAACACGAAATAACAAGAATAGCGTTTCAATATTACATTTACCAGAAACGGGGTCAAAAAACAAAAATTAGCAGTAATAATGTTTTTAGTTTATTACTTTTTGTATTTTTTGGTTCTGTTTTAAAAGGCAGGATACTACATTTTTGATTATTATAAAGACTGACTTTAGTGTCATACAATTTAAGTCTTAAAACTTAATTGTTAGTTAAGTTTAATGCTACTGTTATTAGGCTTAAGAAAAGTCATTATAAATTAGTAATATTTGTTTTAATAATAATATTTTTTGTTTCAAAAACTTACATATTTTTATAATGGCAAAGAAAAATAAAGAGTTTGTTTACTCAAAGAAAAATACTAATTGTTTTTGTCCATAATACATTCCCCTGGGTGGTTGCAACAGTCCCCTGTCGCAATTTTGCGAAAAATCGCCAATAACTCAAAAACTAAGGGGAAAATGTGTGGGCTTTTTTTAGATATGTATTTAAATTACTATTGCCCTGAATTTCGTTAACAAAATTTCTCAACATTTAATAACAATTACTTCAGGACAGTCTTGTATGGACGATTTTCCAAATAGCAGAGAAACACCCATTTAACTTTTTCATGAAATCAATGCGAACGTACATAATACGTACGACACATATTTTCTTTACTTTTCTTACGTCGTAGTAAATAATGTGTAGGTGGAACAAACGAATGACCTTGAGCCTATGAATAATATTCAACGAAAATAACTTTTGCAAATTCGATACTGTTCTATAAATATTACTCAGTAATATTACATTATGAACGCGAATGCCAAATTTAGGCAAAAATTAACAAAAGTATTTTCAAGAACTAATATAAATGAAAAAATAACAAAATTAAATGCTCTAAAATTAAGAAAGCGTCTTTATCTACTTACAGAATCCCTGTAACTCATTTTGTTTGATTGGTGTTTTTATTAACACTCAGACTTTAAAGAAAAACAAGTATATTTAATTAATTATTTCAAAATATTAATGTCGACACTGTACACAGCCGCTAAAAATTTAACAAACTACGCGCCACCATGACAGTCCACCAGCCTGAAATGACAAGACTAGTGATGTTACAGCTACTACCAAATTAAATTTAAATCGAACCGTGTCGATTCTGAGTATTTAGGGGTTATCATATTACGCTTACCAGTTAGCGCCACTGCAGCACTGAGCGCATACTGAGCGAGTAAGATCCTCCTGTTGGATATTTGTTTTAGGTTAAAACAAATTAAATTAGATCTGTGTGTGACCCCGTACATTAAATAAAAGAGCATGCTTCTGCCAAAAGTTTTGGGTTTCTTCCTAGCCCTCGAACGAAGCCGAAAGACAATAATTTCAAAGATCCACTAGCGCCTTTCCTTTTAAATCGAGTGCTTGATTTTGCCCCTATTATTTTATCTGTGCAAGCTCGGATGGCATAGAGTTAAATTTGTCTATCTTGACTGTGGTCAAATGTCAAGAAAAATGACATGGTGGGAGTGTTGTCGTCAGTTGTCATTTTGTTTTACAAGTTACAAACATAGAAAATAAGAAATGTTACTAAATACATAGAGCTCCAAATTATTCAAATATGCCTTATTTAAGTGTCTGATAATTATCGGTATTAATCTGTTGTATCTCTCAATCATGGATGAGAAAGAAGAGTTGCATCTAACCTCGCAAGAATTGCAAGTTTTGTCGGAACTTGACAGGTACGTTGAAAATACAGGCAATAACTTTTATTAAATCTTCAAACACATACCGAAGTTAATTAAACTATCATTCCGTGTTCTTCTTAATTCAACAGATGTATAGATAGTTTCTAATGTGTTCATGCCTGAAGACAGTAGTTAGCCTGGGCCCTTGTAACTGCATCAAAAAGGCGTCTAGTTAGTAGCCAGTAATAATAATTACTAGGTGGAATGCCGGAGTAAAGAGTTAAATTGTTTATCTGACTTGTGTAAGTGTGATAAAGTAAAGCTTCAGTTGCCTTACGTATTATTAAAAAGGCTATGACTTCACGCATGACCTGACTTTGACATTGCTCCTACATCAACAAATACTTCCATAACTAAGTAGGGATTCACAAGTAGTATTAATGAGATAATACAGTAGCATTATACCTAACACCCTGTAGAATTCATTAAGCTAAACACTGGTGTTTATGTTGTTTTTTAAATTTTCCAGCAAACATGTATAGTTTGATGTGTTGTCAACTGAACCTAATGATGACAAATTCTCATTATTTCTCATTCACAATTTTACTTGATTACAGCCGCCAATTTGGGTTCCTGAAACTCCGTGGGAATGAACATGGCCGCACTCGAGCTCTGGTGCTTAAAGCAGTCAAGTATCTGGAAGGCATGCTTGTTCAAGTCAAGGTATTTAGTTTTGTATTCAATTATAATAATAAATGAAAGATCTTGAAAGATGGTGATTCGGTTTTGTACCACTTCAAACTAAAACTCTGTATACAATATACATGTCCTATCATTCATTGTAGATAAAAAGAAATACACGAATATATAACTTTTTTACTTAAAAGTGGTACCTAAATGAGATCATTTCATCATATAAATGTATTTTTATTTTTAACCAAAAAATTTATTTTTAATTTGCATAAATACTCCAATCCAATACAACCTACTACTGTTTTTCTAAAGATAATATCTAAATGCTTTCCTTAATACAGTGTGTACTTTATTTTTTCAGGAAGAAGAGCGAGCATGTTCCCCAGGAGCCAGGCGGGACATCTGCATTGATCCTAAGACTTATTGCAAACTGGGACACTTCCATCTTCTACTGGAAGATTATGCTAAAGGTGTCTTTTTTATTTTCTTGACTTAACAATACTACACACTCTAACAAAAGTGTTGCAGTTGACTGACATGTAATAATACCTAAAATGAACAAATTACCTATGTATTTGAAACAATCATAATTTTAAATACAACACTTTTCTGTTACTTTCAGTTCTTGATTAATGAAACTCAACTTTGCTGTAATGTAATTAAGAAGCATTTATTTATTACTTTAGTAATGATTTTTGACTACTTGCTGCATATGTTTTGGATCCACATACATTATTTTTCCAATTGTACAGCTTAATGAACAAGTGAATTCAAATTCTCAGCAGATTGATGTAGGCTTTATGTTCTGGACATGAATGTTCACTAAAACTATTAGGTTTTATGCAAACATAGAACAAATTCAAAACTGTAATTCAATGTAGGTACAAAGTATTTTTACAAAGAGGAAATTATGTATTAAATTAACTGAACTAACATTTTTAAACTTCAGTGTTCAGTTAGTGAAAACAAAGACTTATTTAAGTTTTGCTGTCAGTACCAGCTTTGCCAGTTTTTTTTTTTCGCCAAGTCGGGACTTTGGTACTTTTTGAGTGAAAATAGCGGGATTCTTCCGTCAAAAGCGGGACATAGTAAAAAAACGTATACAATCAAAGGTTTTCAAATATTTATCTTTTTATTTGACTTAAAATTACGTTTACGTGACAATAGATAGCAAAAGTAGCCATAAAAAATGTATTTTAACAAAAAAATAATTTTAAATCCGATTTACTCTATCGTTAAATTCGTCTTTAGAATAAAAAAAGAAAAAATAAACCAAAATCGAAAAAAAAAAATTCTTCAGAATAATATGGCGTTTCAAACAATAGTCTGGTGAAGTGAATGTCTCTCTCCGAAAAGCGGGACCGAGCCTGTCCCGCGCGGGACATATAAATTTTATTTAAAAATCGGGACGTCCCGCCAAAATCGGGACGTCTGGCAACGCTGGTCAGTACACACCTAAAAATGTTAGCATGTTACTTTCAGTTTACTATTGAATGTCATCCATCTGAAAACAGGCATGTCTATTAATTCTTTAACTTCACTCTGAAATAATATTTGTAAGTAGGTATTTATGAATGTAAAAACCATGTCTTACGGATTATTTGTTTCACAGCTATGTCAGCATACCAGAAGTTCTACGCACTGGAGCAAGACAACTGGAAGGATCCTCTGTTTCTGTACGGACTTGGTCTCTGTTATTACCACTACAATGCCTTCGAATGGTGAGTCTTTAACTATACAAGAATTTTCTTAATGAAAGTTAGTAACCTGTTTTTACAATTTGTTAGGTTGAAAGTATACAGGGGGATGTAGATAATGAGGAACTTATTAACCCCTTGAATATCTATAAGACCGCCGGCGGTGGCGCCATTTTAATACCGATTTTCCGTCAAGGATCACAAGACCGCCGGCTTTTTCAATTGATTTCTCAATTTGCTTTGCTGTATGACGCATTGGCCGTATACAAGTTAAGTTTTACCACTCAATTATATGATTTGAAGTGGTCAGTCAGTGAGAAGGTTGCATTCTTATTATACTTAAAGTATTGAAATTAAAATTATACATAACATAACAGAATGCCCCAGTTGTGTGTTTGTTACGTTATGTATAATTTTGGCTCTAGTTGATTTTTTTATAGGACCAATATCTTATTTCACTTTATCTAAGTTGGAAGACATACTTTTGTTCGTTCCTTTTGTTTGCGATGGCTAAGGTCCGCATACGACATAGTTTAATTATTATTTTGTCTGATATTGCGAATCTTGCTTAATACTTGCGTGGTCTCCCACATAACCTATGGGCCAATCAGATTTAGAGTCGGTAATTTGGAAGTTGGGAAAAAGCAATAAAAGAACACGAAAATAGATCGGGAAACTTTGTTCCTTTGAATACAGAAAATATTATGTCACATTATACAACTTTCCCCTTCAGTATACTTTAGAAAAGAAACTTCATGGTATTGTTTTCGATTTATTTGGTTTCCTACCAAAAAGCGGTGATATTACGGCATTTCATAACTAAACCTTTCGATTGAAGGTATTATCATTAAGATATTTTTTTACATCCTAAGGAGTGCGTTCACCACCACAATCTCAACCACAATAGTCCACCGGTCTACGTGAATCAAACAAGTGACTCTTGAAAACCGAAATCGCCTAAAAATAAGTTTGCAATTATGCGGTTCAAAAGCTCATGAAAATATTTTCAAATCAATTACTGATTATAGCTGATATAGTCTAAGATCCGGCCGCAACATCAGAGCGCTAATCAAGGTTTTGCTGAAAATCAATTTTATTTATGATTAGAAAAATATACCTAAAAATTAGGTTATAGGCCGGGTCTCATTCTATTATTTCAGTATCAATCACTCAGTCAGTCTTACTTACTACATAATATGTAATAGCTGTGGAACTCCCTTTTCTCTATTATTATTTTAATACTAGCTTTCCGCCCGCGGCTTCGCCCGCGTGGAATTTTGTCTGTCACAGAAAAACTTTATCGCGCGCGTCCCTGTTTCAAAAACCGGGATAAAAACTATCCTATGTTCTTTCCCGGGACTCAAACTATCTCTATGCCAAATTTCATCAAAATCGGTTGCGAGGTTTAAGCGGGAAAGCGTAACAGACAGACAGACAGACAGAGTTACTTTCGCATTTATAATATTAGTTGGGATTAGTTGGGATTTGTAACTTCTGTATTTTATAAACTCCTTTTTTTTGTCTGTTACTCTTTTCCGATAGTTTTTCAAACATATTTTACTCTTCAAGATGTAATAAGGTGGTATTATTTATTGACATTTGTAACGCGGCAACGCTATTTCATAACGTTTGTAACGNATTGTTTGTTTACACATACAATCTCACTATTTTGTTGCAATTTCTTACAAAACTTTGCGCGCAAAAACCAAATCTAGTATGAAAATCATCAAACTTCTAATGCTCGTAACTCAGTTCAGACTGAGTTTAGAGGTATACATGTCATAGTAAGTTTGATTTATTACACTATTTTGTAATCAAAAAACAAAGTTTGGTCGATGGCCGCGCGAAAAAAAAAAGACGCCAATTTCCGGCATTGTCTTTTTTACCTCAAAGTTAGGAGCGGCAATACACGGACCGCTTGAAGCAGTCAGGGTCGACAGCTTCAAGCTGTTGACTGCACAGTGAACTGCAGAGTTCTATGGACGCACATACACGAACCGCTCGAGCAGTTGCAACTGATTCGGGCGGTCGACAGCTTGAAGCTGTAGACCCTGACTGCTTCAAGCGGTCCGTGTATTGCCGGCCTTAAACAAACAAGAACTTCCCAGGGAAACTTTAATACGAACGAATTCCACCCCAGATAACCTTCACCGAAGTGCAATAAATACCACCTCTTATATCCCCAACCGAGGTGATAATCAGTCCCTACATTTAACTAATTCCACCCTAGATAAGGCTACCTAAATAAACTTCGACAAACGTTACTTTGACATTACGTTACTCCGACACTACTGAATATCGACACGACTTTACTTCGACACTACACTACTCAGACAAAGGCGTAATCAATCCCACTCACCACTCCGTTGGGGTCGACGAGCAGCAGATGTTTGTGCACGCCGCGGCGCGCGCCCGTCAGCACGAATTGCCCGGCGCATCCCGTGCTCTCGCGGACTAGGAACTCGCCGTCCTCGACCACCAGCTACAAAATGAACGTATTTATTTTTATTTTATTGTTAGGAAAACAAACAGCATTCTATAACACACATAAGAGTTACCAATTAAACTTCACATTTGCCAAAAGAGTTATTATAATAGTCTCATCCAGGTTGAGGAACTGGATTTAGACAAGAAAGTAAGAGAGTGTAAGTTGAATCACCAGTCAATTGATTAAATTACGATTTTTGGTCGCATTGTAAAAGAAAAAAGTAGTTTAATTGAGTTGACAAAATAGTGACGTCACTTGCTTGTAGTGCCATACAAAATCTATGGGAGAGTTTCGTTTTGACAGTTTTAAAAAGTACGTCAATTGACTGTGGTGTCAACATGTCTATTGACATACTTTTTTAAGGGCTTTCCCAAATAGAACGTGTACCTATCGCCGTGTTATAGAGTTAGAGTTTTGGGTACTGTTAGCGCCGGCGTTATATGACATGAAGCTATCCACATTCGACCGACACAATCGGCGATATAGCGCGGTCAGGCTAACGTTCTAGCGCGCGCAATGTACACGTTCTATTTGGCAAAACTGGCTGTATTTAATAATACCTTTTCGGCTATGCATTTGTACATAGGTTCATGGAATAGTCTACGTCTACGTCATAGTGTAAGGTTAAANCAGGTTCTGCAAGAGGGGTTTAGGAAGAGTATACCGGGTGGAATAATTGCACAAGCTACCAGTTTAGGATGGATAATTTCGGGTACGGTAACTGATTTAAGGAAGCAGTCGAATAGCATGGTAGTGATGCATTCACTGATTGAGGGTAATGAGACTTTGAAGAGAGTTTGGAAATTGAAGAATGCGCAAAAGAAAAGGAATGAAAGGTGGATGAATGAGGAAGAAATGAAATGTGAAGAGTTGTATAGGAACACGGTAAAAAGACAGGAAGATAGGGACAGCACACGAGTACGGGTTATGTGCGACAGTTCATGTAAAGGAAAGGATGGGATAACAATAAATGATATGATGATGAAAGATTCAGTATTTCTAGATGATCGTATGACAGATTGTGACAAATTAGAAGAAGCGGTAGAAATTTACAAGGGAATGAATGAAATACTAATGAAAGGAGGATTTGTATCAAGAAAATGTAGAAGTAGAAAAAAGATGAAGTTTTAAATGAAATAGCGATGGGACAGGGACGGACTTACCTGGGATCGGGAACAAGATGATTTTGATAATCGGTGAATCTCTCGGAGCTAAGGGAATCTGTAACAAAAAGGAAAATATTATCACAGGCAAGACTGTTCGATTATTTAGGTTAACGGGTTTAGATTGGTACGAACAAGTTCTTGCTGATGTAAATAAAGAATGGGTTACTTACAGTAGCGGGCTGGGTACTAATGCAGTTCTTTTGGAGACACTAAAATTGATCTCACTGCACAGGTTTTATCGCGACTTTCCGTAGTTTAGTTTGGCGGAACGAGCTTGGTTTACAACTTTGGTTTTTATATTTTGTAAGTACATTTTTTTTAAATTTAAGATCTCGTTGGGTAGACAAAAGATATTACAAAGTTTGTGGAGCAATCTGGTTAGTACGTTGGTTAATAGGTAAACGTCTATAGTTAACGGAATCACGAGGGTTATCACTCTTAGAGCAAAAAATGTATTTTTTTGAGGGATCGGTTTCCAAGTTGTGAACTTTGGAAACGGAAAAATAATTGTATTCATGTAGATATAATATGTTTTTAAAGGAAAGTCGTATTGTAATTGTTTATGGTAAAGTTTATGTTTTTCACAAGTAGGTATGGGAATTATTTTGGTTTTTAAGGTTTTTAATTTGATTTTTCGGTAAGGATACGGATGTAATACTGGGTTAAAATGTTCATGGGTTGTATAGTTATTCTAGTTTAAGGTGTTACATCTAAGCAAAACNTTCTTAAAGGTTTTAAACCTTTGTTTGTCACCTGTCATCCGCTTTGCAATGGAGGGAAGTCGAACCTTAATTTCGAACTCCTCCTATTTTCTTCTGATTAATTTCGTTGCGGGTCCAATGACAGTTTAACTTTCCCCCGGGACAAACTTGACCTTCATTGGTTGGGTTTTTGTGGCGGTCAAGCTGTAGATCCTGGCTACACAGGAGTTGCAGTGGTGGGAACGAGAGGTGGGAATAGTCCCGTCCTTGTCCCTATGATACAGTTCTGCTGACTGCTACTGCCGGGGGACAGGGTGGTATGTGGGACTCCCGGCGCCCTAAAAAGGGAAAAGGACGCGGTATACCCACTAAAACCTCCGCGGCGTTCCGTCGTAGGCCGAGTGGGGGTGTCGTGAATATTCGGCTGTAGCCTTAGACTTCCGAGACACCACGCTACAGCGACAGCTCGCCTACACGGCGGACCCTACACGCCCCCCTTGAGGGGGTCCGACGGAAATGCCCAAAACGCCAAGTCGTTCCCGTCAGACGAAGGTGACAAGGGTGCCCCCGCACCCCCGGCCTGCTGGCAGCCACCTGGGGGCAGAGTAGAACGGTCGTACAACCGCCTTCTCTACCCCCTTCTCCGCCTGCGGAGCGATGAGACGAGAG